ATATATATATATATATATATATATATCGAATAGCATGAGGCTGTGAGTGAAATATCCGGTCTCGCTGAACTTTTGCAGACATGACAGCGTCAGCTTGAAAGCTGCGCTTCTGGCTGCTCAGCTAAACTGAAGTCGAGGGTTCGCGTTATGAAGAGCGGCGGATTTTTTTTTTCGGTGAAAACCGTGTTATAAAGAGTTGCGCCGTAGCGGGAAACTCCGGTTCAATAGTAAGCAACCAGAATTCTTTAACATGCACCTGAATCTAAATACACTTTTGATTCTTTTAGGGGGGGGGGGGTATTTTACCCAGCTTCATTGAAATATGCCTACCGTGTCTTCGATCTGGGCAGCGCAACAGCTTGGCCGCTAAGCCACACTCGGCGGCGATAAAGGAGGTCAAGACTGTTATCCCAGGTGGAGGAAATAAATCTGTGGGCCTCTTAAAACAGCGTGTCGAACAACAGCAAGTGTTCATCCATTCATTTACAAAACCTCATTAGTGTCCTGGAGCCCGGTCTTTTTAGACCCAGGTGGACCGCGTCCACGTCAGTATACCTTCAGGCCAAGCCTTATGGCGACACCGTGGACCTTCTGGACAGCCCGCAGCTGATCTTGATATCGTCTTTCGCTTCTCGTTTTCGCAGGCTGAAACCACATATTTTTCGTTGGCGTTCCTTCACCGCGGTCGCCCACATCCCCTTTATTTACGTGTGCAGAAAATATGGCGCGCAAAGCGAAGGCTTCAACCACGGCGTCTACCGCGGCGTCCAGCAGCAGCAATGTGGATGCCGATAAAAACGTCAGCGGTTCCGAAGATGCGGGCGGCGCGGAAAGCGACACAGGGTGAACATTTGTTTTTATTTGTTTATTTCATTGAGATAGAAACAGTATCGACACTCCAGGCACATTCTTGACGTCGCTGTCGACGTCATCTGCAGGGAGCGCTAGCGCGGCAGCTGCGGTACGTGTGGTCTCGCGCGCGAACATCTTCGACGGTCTCAAAACCAAAGTTCTCGACGGCACGTGCAACCTTGATATTTTTTCTAAGAAAACGGGTTAGTGAGGTGCAACGACGAGAAAAGTAACGCTGTCATGTGCTATAGTGAACTAGAAGTACTCTAGTGGTGCGACCGGCCAGGCTTTGGCGCCAGCCTTTCACACGGATGGCGCGAGGTGGCGCCACTGCTCCATTTCCTAGGAGCTTCGGCTGCGTTGACCGGCCGTCGCTGGCTCCTTCTGAGTTGCAGCTATGGTCAATTCTAACGCGCGTGTTTGCTTCCTGGCTCATGCAAACGTAAAATTGCTAGGTTAGTTATTGCGTGGCTCAGCGCTTTGTATATACATAGTTTGGCCAAGAATATATATATATATTCATATTTACCACACGCGCTAATAACATTCGCTACAAAGCGATTGCTCATCACCATCACAAGCTTACGGCGCGCTTCCACTATAGTTTTGGTGCTGGCTTATTACATAGAAGGTCATGGTAAGGACACAGTGCTCAGCATCGAAAATGAAAACAGGAACATCTTTTTATTTATTGTGATGGTAGGAAGAGTACAAAAAAATACAAAATAACAAAATAAATTTCACTAGTTTAACAGCTTTTCAAAACTATTACGAGGATTCGCAAAAAGAAGACACGTGAGATGGACATGTGCAGAACTTAACATCTACTGAGCTTTAGGTGCTTGGCTGATTCTCGTTTTTTAGCACTATTCTGGTTCACGCTTTTAGTTAGGAAATGCAGACGAGTAGTGATGTAAAAAACGATGACCTCAGCTGCAATGCCTTCAGAATGGTCACGACAACCAAGCCCATTTTTTGCTTTGCCTTAACTTCGCTTAAAATGTCGAGTATGCTATCAGCGTGCAGCTCCAGCAAACTGAAACACGTTGTGAAGGCTTTTTCTAAATCATGAACAAACTTAAACAACAGGCTAGACGGATAAAGCAGGCCACCTCTGTCTTTCATGTGTGTCAATTGCGCAAGGTGTTTGAGACTTTCAGCAGACTCCTTTTGCATTAGAAGAAGTTTACGGCACTCTTCGCAGCCAGACTTCAGTAGGCATTTTCTAGCTACATATCCTGCTATATAAAATGTTAGCCGGTTGTCACTGGCAGATATAATGCATGACGCATGGTCTGGCGCACTCTGTGCGCCAGACCATGCGTCATGCATTATATGCAACAAAGGGCACAAAAATTATCACCATACCGTGATCACAGACACTGTGCTTATCTTTGTCAGACGTAAACTGTCCCAAGTCAACGAAGCCATCAATGCGGCCTTCACTGTTCACTGAGAGGTGCTCCGAGAGTTTCAGTTCATCCACGATGAGTCCTCCATGGCATAAAAACTCGTCCATAGTGCAAGTCTTTTGCTTCAGCACATCAAAGATTTTATTGCTAAATCCAAACCCAGTTCTGTAGCATTTTAAATATTTGCGAAGCGTAGTCTTACTGGGGAGAACTAAGATTTTTTCTTTTCTCAAGTGCTCATACAACCTTGCACTTTTCAGCTTCATAATCAAACATTCGAGCACCCACTCATTTGAAAATATCATGCCTTTAGAACTCTTCCGTGAAGAAGCTTTGAATATGTGGAGAGTTGCCTCACGCTGCTTCTCTGGTAGGAGAGCTACTTTTGCATTGAAATCTTCTTCTGCGATTGCCACATTCTTGGCAAGCATGACACTCAACTTTTTCTTAAGCACACATGCCTGATTTTGAAGACGTGCTGTCTTCTTCTTTGTTGCGTCAGTCGTGAAGAAAGAGTTTTCTTTACAGGCAGGTGTACACGACAGTTAATGTACGACTTTCTTGTCAGTAACGCTTTCCTAAGGGACTTGCATTCTGCACAACTTGAGCCTGCAAATGAACAAACAATGCATACGTTAAAATCACACCCCTCAATACCTGAGGCAATGTGGTAATGTTATGGGCATCCTAATGCACTTTACGTCTACTTACCTTCAGAAGAAACTTTTCCGAAGCCGCGTACGCTGATCACGGATCGTCCAGCAGTGTTTGCTTCAGCTCGATGATGTGCGGTCAGCCGAGAGGAAAGCGGCTTGAATTCTTGTTTACACATTGCTCCCTTGCAGACAGGGCTTTCTCGAGCTTCTTCCAATACGGATGTGGCCTCAGCAAGGGATTGCACGGGTTTCTCTTGACACAAAACACCTTGATAGAAGACTTGGGCTACAATTTTTCCTTCTGTGGACATAAAGCACACAGCTTTTTCATGAAAAATATCCAGTTTTGTACGCTTGCTTATCACTGTCGTCACAAATATTAAATCGCAGTGGCCAACTGCTTCTATACGACACCAGTAGTTTGCAGGAACTTCAAGTGTGCGAATAGCTTCAATTGAAAGTCGCGCACTAGTGGCAGCATTAAAGTCCATGCCTTCCATTTCACCGCCGTCGCACACTTCGTCAGGTGCATCAGGCCTGCGCCGTTTTCTGCTTGCGCCTTCAGGAGGTTTGGCTGCTTTCCTTCTCTCGGGTCTTTGCTTGGGCGCAGCGACGGAAAGGTACGCTGGACAACCTGGCAAAAGCGTTGGCACGGCATCAGGCACCAATGACGGTTTTCCTCGGGGAGTGCGCACTTCACGGCCATTTATCATGTGCACATATTCGCGCAGAATATATCTTGGCTCGAAGTGATGTTCGCACACCGCTGATGTTTCGGTCAGAGGTTTGTCATCCCTCCGGAGGTTACGCTCCCACTTTCTGCGCAGATCGTCTTCTCTAGGAGCTGCAAACAACGATGCCTTCGGGGCGCCCGGGTAGCCGCTTCGGCAACCCGGAGCGAAACAGTGTGAATCCGTCCTCCGCTTCGACATGTCACGAGCTACATGTTTGTTGGTACAGAATACCTGAACAGGTAAAGACAGCTGCTCCACAACGGTCCGTGCGAGAAAATGCAGAGCAGAGTATACCGGTACACGTGCAGTACAGTACAGTAGCTGCAGACAAAGCGATGCGCAGGATACCGGCAGACGTGCTGAACTAACGCGCTGAATCACCAAGTGACCGCGCCTCGCCTAAGAAAAGGCGCAGTAGCGCCACGAGAAACCCTAGTGGCGGTCCGTGGTATTTCCGACCGCCAAGAGAGGCGGCGTGGCCTGGCGGTCGTGCCACTAGAGTACTTCTAGTTCACTATACATGTGCTAGATCGCTGACGGACCACGGCTATGGCGGCGCCTTCACTGGCGCCATCTGGCGGGAAGAGCTTGGTGAATACCTCCTATAAAGTCCGAGGGCGACCACATTGCCCCCGCGAGCAGTATTTCTATAATATAACAAACAGATTTTTTAGCCAAGTTTAGTCTTAAGTTTTTCATATTAAAACTGGCGCTATGTTTCAAGACTCATTCGGTCTCTTCTTCAGGGGGTGACTGTTCTTGTTAATGCATTGTTTTCCTTAACAGAAACGATGAGAACAACGATAGAGAGGGTGACGACTAAAAAGTAGCTTCGGAGCCGAAGAGACTAAACAGGTCTCGAAACATACAGCCAGTTTTTTTTTTTTTTTCAAATTAAATGCCAATAGGTGGCATTTCGCAATGCCACCTATTGCACTACAATTGCCATTTAGTTAGCACTACAATTTAAATGAAGCGATGTGCTAAGTTGTCAAGCTAGCATACGTGTACGGCTGCTCCGGAGCGGTAGAGCAACATTGGTGCATACCCTTTACATCCTTAAGGGTAAACATATTTGGCAGAGATCTGTCTGGCTGGATAAAATTACTCGAATAAACACTCTCTTGAGCCAATTTTAATCCTTAGTTTGTAATGTATTGTGACGGGGCGAGGTCTTGGCTTACAGGATAGCGTCCACCGAGAATCGGCAGCCGAACAAGATGTCTGAGTTGCCTCTCGAGCAAGCGCCTAACGCACAGGCGTCTTCTTCATCTTCGCCAAGTACCACGCTTGCTCCTGTCGATGATGCACCGTAACAGTATTATCCTTGTACTATCCCATTACAGGGCAGCCACCGACAGGCCCGTGACGCCACCGCCAAAACCCAAGCGCAGGAGGCGGGGCACAAGCTCCCGGGTGTGCGGTGTGTGCGAGCGAATCTTCAGCAGCCGCTCGGCCGTGCGACGCCACCTGGTGACGCACACGGGTCACAGGCCGTTCTCGTGCACCGTGTGCGGCCGCCACTTCTCTCTCAAAGGGAACCTCATGGCCCACAATCTGACGCACTCCGGAGCGAAGCCCTTCGAGTGCCACCTGTGTCCGCAGGTGTTCTCGCAGCGATGTTCGCTCAACCGTCACCTTCGAAGAACGCACGAGAGAGGAGCGAAGTGATTTCGTCGAAGGATCGGACATTTGTCACTGCCCGTACTAGGAACGGCGCCGTATAAAAAACGAAAATGTTCATTTCAAGTCGGAATAATGCCGCAATAAAGCTTTGTACTCGTTGACAGTTATTGCTTGAACAAACAGCGCTAAATCATTCAATGGCAACTCTCCGCGTTTCCTTGTTCAGTTCGATTCCGACACTGTTTGTCCGACGTGAACGGAACGACCAAAGCCGGCTGAAGGTGAGGCAAAACTGGCACAAAAGTGTACTGGACTGTATACCGCTAGTCAGTAACATAGTCATAGCAGTACCAACATCACTGCAACTCTACTGGAACACTACATCAGTAGAGTTCAAGTGATGCTCTGACCGGCCATAGTCCTGTGTTGGCGTATGGTGAGAAGAGTTAGTTTGGAGTCGCCAACCGTAGTCTAATAGCTGCTTTGTAGTCAAATGTGACATCTGTGCATAGCTGAAATACAGAAAAATGTTTGTTTGCTAATGGGTTAGAACAGTGAACCATGGGTCATAGTGTGTTTTCTGGTGAATATTATTTATTATGTGTTGATTCTTTTGAAGAGGGTAAAAGTATGCTGTATTATTTCTGGAACATAAATGCTAACACTTCATAAATTGTCATTCTTGCATTTCGTGCACGAAGGGCGGCATTAGACCACAGGTTTTACTGAATGACTGACCTATTCATGCAAATGCAGCCTCTGAGGCTGCCCCAAGAAGCTCGTTGTTATTGCATAGCTTGGTCAATCAAGAGAGCTTCACGCACGCAAGAGCGAGTTCTCACAGATGGACACCGAAATGCGGTGATGACGTCTTTATGAAAGAATGGCCTGCTGACGTGCTGGTTGAGATTTGCAGAGCAGGGCCAATCATATAATGCAAAAGTACATAACGAAAGTGTCACTGGAATGCCATTGCAATGTTATAATAGTAGGCGACGGTGTGTTATCGCTACTAAATTTTTATGTCCTCCCTGTTAGTGAAGGAAGAGAGATGTGCTCAATATACATTCCGAAGAAAGCTTTCACATTTATATGTTTTCCGACAGCACACCGTTTCATAACTGGCTGGTCGAAATTGGGTGCTTGGAATACGGTCAGCTAGTTTCGCGAGAGCACTTAGAGATACTCACATATGACGACAGAGCACGAGAAGATGTGATCACCGTCACGTGATTCTTGCGATTCTTATTATGGCACGACATCAGCCATCGAAGCGTGCATCCCAGTGCTTTGGCGCCTGCGTACTACGTTTACCTGCCACAGAAGACGCACTGTCGCGTTTCGCAAGTGGTGCAGCGAGCGGCTTCACCTTCGGTCTGGACACAACCTAACTACTACTTGAAACTGTTGCGCAGTGTGTTAGAACAGAACGAAAACCAAGACGAGAAACAAAAAAAAAATTTTACCGAAACAAATATGTAACCGAAACAATACCTATTATTTTGTTTCGGAGCGAAACCAAAATTTTTTCAATCGTTTTTCGGTTCACGAAAAAACTTCACTATACGGAAGTATTGAGGTCATGCAACATGAAGGATGATGCACACCTCGAAATACAGTAATAGCATGTTTTTCAGGCAGGAATTCCTAAGTAAACGTGTTGAAACTGTGTGAAAATGTAAACTGTGGTGACCAGAGATGTTTATATCAACACAAGTGGACCTTCGTGTGCCTGTCACGCTCATTCTCGGCTCTGGCTTGTTTTTATCAGAACAGTAGTCTCGCTCATCAGAGAAACAATCGATGATCTGCTGCTTCTGAACTTTTGAAGAAACAAATACTATGACTTTGAAGAACACTGGTTTGCACTACTTGATATGAATTCGTGGCGCAGTTACTTCAGCTCCTCTGAAGCACGGGATTTATCGCTATCCCTCTTTTTAAAAAGGAGCGCTGTCATTAGTTCAACTTGAAATCCTGCAAACAAATAAAAACTGTTAAGTACCCTTATGGAAACTTTTTTTGTTGTTTATTTCCGGAAGAGAAATGGAACAGAACTTTTGTGATGGAATGAAACTAAATCCAAACGATAAACATTTTGTTGCGATACCCTGCTCTTGCGAAACTCTCAATCAGTCCTAATTACTTTTTAGATCACTTAATCATTCTTCATTTCATCTAGTTATGCTTTGGGACTTCTGATCACTATCAACTCTAATCTAGATTGTCCCACTTAAGCTGGAAGCTTTGGTATCGAGTGGTGCGACAATTTTTTGTTTTGAATGAGAACTCTTAACTGAACTTGATCACTCTTTGCATCTCTTGAACTACTTAAAACTTTTTGTTGGGCTGGTTGGTACATGCTTACTGAAATACAAAAAGATGTGCACTATCAAGGAAAGAAATTAAAAACAGAACAGAAAAAATATCATTTGCAACTAACTTTATTCTCAGAACACCAGTAACATATATGACCGTAGCAACCATGCACGCGCACATCGCCTCACATGCTCGTGAGAAAACACACGATAAGATTGACAAAATAAAATACCAAAAAGCCACTAAAGAAAAAGATTAGGAAAAAATTGGATTCACCACTACGCAAAGCAACAGATTTGTAACTAACAGTCTCTCTTCTTTTTAATGCAGTATGATTCTGTGATTTCACAAGCTAAGGTATCATTACCCTTTCCAAGAATGCGCGACCTACACAAAAGTACGCATTAAAGTTACATTTTAGATAATTTAACTAAGGCATCAATTGAAGGTTACTATATAAAGCTCAAAAATTAAAACAATTTCTATTTTACTTGGCAGTTTGATAGTTCAGGCATTAAAGGGTTAAAGTTGTGAGAGCCCTGGTGCACATATGGCATAACTAGTACGAACTTTTTTCCATCGACTTCCTGTTTCTCCTCGATCCCTTCAGTTTTAAAGCCGATAGACTTTCTTGGGGTACTTCGACACAAAAAATTCTGTATGTCTATCTGTCTGTCTGTTTATCTGCTTGTTCGCCAACATGATATCCAAAACGGCTAAAATCCAACCACATCCGCAGCGCCCACCAATATTGCTCTGGTTTCTGCATTCATACATTGCGCACATCTGAGGCACAATATAAACACGCCAATACTATGTGGTGTGTGTGTTTCTTCATACTAGAGAAGGCATACATAAGTGATTCTAAGAATTTGTAGCATTTATCATGCTTTGCTGACAATGCAACGTTATGCACGAAAAGGCGTTTTTCTCAGAGGACACAATGATGGCATCTACCCGTCGCCTTGAATTTCATCCTACTATGACCTCCGAGACGGGCGCACACGCCGCGCGCTTGCTATATCAGAGGCCATTCTTTCGTTGAAATGAGTGCCAGATGGCACTCATGTCACACATCGTAGAGTGCCTCGATGCACTCGTTCTCCTTTGCTGAGCGCATTGATGCACTGCCTCCAGAAATCCCATTCACGGATTTCCTCATGCAGAACATCAAATAAACGTTTTGTTAACTCTCACCAGACACAATACTATTGTCTTTCGATGACATTTGCAGTGAATCATGCAGAAACGGGCCAATTTTTAAAGGATAGTTTCTGAAACAGTAGGGAGGACAGAATCAGGGTAGCCAGCTGAATTGCTGCCACGTGACCTGATTATTGAAACTTTCTCGCATTCTTTGCGGACAAGACTTGATCTACTTTTAGGGCTCTTAATTATTCTCAATTCTACTTCAATTACACATTGTCAGGTTGAGCATCATGTGCAGTGCGCGACACAAGAAGCAAGTGCCATTTTGATACTATCTGTGTTGTCAACGTCGACTGTTGCCACATTCCACGTCTCGATTTCTCCAGATAATGGCAAGAGATGCACTTCGTACTCTGGACATAATGCCTGGTCGAGATGCACACTCGCACAATTATTTTGTTAGGTATCTCAATTGCGTACACACAACAGCAGTGGTGATGCGTATAGGCCCAGTGCATTGCAGCCTTCCACGATTCACACTCATGCCAGAACACAAAAAAAAAACGTGGGGAAGCCCCACTGCTGTGAAACCCGAGGAAGTGCTTAGCACGGGCGCCCAGCGATTCTCGTTCGTAGAGCTCCCGCTGCTCCGTTTCCAAAGGCATTGATGACGCCAGTGTTCGGGTTAAGCATGTAGGTTCTCCCTAGTATGAGTAGAATCTTGTTAGGGAGATTCACAAGCTCAGCGCGCAACATTGCACTACACTTCGCTGCACTTTATCAATTCCCTGCTTATTACAGCAGTTTAGATACACAGTCGTCTACAATGTTCAATCAGGTTGTTTCCCTTGTCAGATATAACAATGCCAAGGGGAGAGGGGCATCCGCTCACTAAAGAGGCTGTGGTGCCTTCTGTTGCACAGTTCTGAAGTCATCCACGTGTATCAAAACATTTTTTGCAATATTAAGTAAACTATTGCGATCACCTATTGACTATTTCTGTTAGGTATTTTACTTCAGACCTTGTTTTTGCATGTTATTCAGGTTTTAAACCTTTTAGCCTTGTTAAGACCTGTATTGCGCACTTTACTGTCAGCATGATCACGCCAAATAGTACGCACAGACGGGCAATAAGCCAGGCCTTTAAAGTTCGCTGCACATAAAACTTTAGTGTCGGTATGGTGGACAGAAAAATCAGAGGGACACAAGGCACGCTCATCATGACACCTCAGGGATTGTATTCTGAGGTCATCCCTTTCGGCGATTCGTGAAGTCGCGTCGCGTTACCGACAGTCTCACACATCCAAGGACTGAAGCAAATACGATTGCCCTCCTTGCTCAAACCAGCCAAACTGTGTGCCCTGAAAGTGCTATTATGACGATACCCCCAAAAGTGGCCTTCCCGAATACAACCTTGCGCTACTTAACGCTAGAGGAAAGTTTCCAATGCCTCAAGCTTTCTAAAGTGCGCATCCCTTGCATTGCTTCGATGTGTTTACGGTACATATATGAAAAGCCCATGTGAGGCATGCGGACACCGACATCTTGGGCTGTTGAATGAATGCTTTCCTACATTC